TAAAATATATTTAAAAAATGCATAACTTACGTAAAATACTATTAAAAAACATATAAGAAACATTTGAATAAAAGCTAAACAATTAAAAATGAAGATGAAAGAAAAATTCATTACATAAAAATATGCGTTTCGTAATTCGTGTACTGTCGTTTAAGAAAAATAATATATTGTGTACTAAAAGATACCATTCCTGGTGACGTTTTATCAGTCTAATATGTGTTGAGAAAATACAGTTTATTGCAAAAATAAAATTAAAATATTATGTTTTATACTATACAGAAGAGATTACCTGATTTTAATGTTAAGAATACGTTAGTTATATTTTTAATGAATATATCATTCTAAAATGTTACACTTATTTTCCTGAAATCCTTTAAAATTCCTGGAGAAGAAATTAAATATATTTATAGTCGGAAGTTTTCGTTAAATGTTACAATAGTAGTAGAAAGAAGATTTAATATTTGAAATTTTAAATTCATCCTGATGTGGAATAGCTTTTTTATTCAATCGTTCAAACGATTATATTTTACAATATAAATTATCCCAATTTTAAAGTATTTATGACTTTTAATAATAACACTTTCTGCTTCTAACATTTCAAGAAATTTAAATTAACTTGTAATGAAAGTAGGAAATAAAGACTTAATATTTTGAGCTTTAAGCTTGTCTCAATTTAAAATAATTCGTTTATTCTATTTTAGTCTTTAGTTTATCCTACTTAAACTATTAATATATATTGCAATTTACAAACTGATATATTTTGCAATTTACAAAAAAGCTGCCACAATTTCTAAATATCTAACAATATGAAATGCTGTCGTCAACTTAAAGGAATACTAATTTAGCAACCACAATAATTACGTAAAATTACACAATCTTTACAAACAATATTACGTTTTAATCCCAAAAATTCAAGATATAAATTAAAATTTTTGGTAATTATATAGACACATTTCAACGATTTCAGAGATTTCCAAAAATATATATTATTTTATGTATATCAGGATCGTTATTCTGAGTATGTAATTTCAGAAATACGATATATTGTATAATATATATAAAAATATTTTTGATACTTTTTACTTTGGTGTGAGTTGGGTTTGATTAGATCTATTAGCTTTGAATTAGATTTATGTACTATTGTCTTCTTTTCATGTATTATCTTATTAAACCTACGATCAAACTTGAAAGTATCAAAGAAAGTTTGTCTTTTACTGATATATTTTTGAATCTCGACCTAAGTTGTGTTCCTTTCTTGTGCACCTTTATAAGCTTAAACATAATACGCATAAATGCATTGCATATAACAAACGCGTGTATAATATAATCATGTCCGTACATAAACTTATTAATTAATTTATAAAAGTATCGGAAATATTTTTATGAATACCTCAAAAACTAAAGCCGAGTAGCGGTTATACATATCGAAAAAAGTTGCTCAGAACATTGATCTCGACAAAATATTTGAAAATCTCTGGAATCGATGCTCTGATCAGTGTAATTACCAGAGTTGTTTTTACAATTATATCAGAAAATTACTGCTTTTATATATTTTATTCGTGGTTTCGATTGATACAGCATTTGATGGAGCAATATTGAACTATTTAATGTAAACAGCAATTTCAGTATATTAACTATTTGTAACAGTATTCGCGCTTTATCTAGATGAAGATATTAAACTACAATTTTTCAATATCACACGCTTGTTTCTTCGCCAAAAATTTCACGTTGAATTCATCATATGCAGGTCACATTCATACGTCTCACATATGTGAAACGTAGACCTTGACAGTGAGAACTGCGTTTATTTAAGTTTGTTCTTTATTGGAATCATGGCTGATTCAATCAAATCTTGCTGTCGCGTACGCTGTAAAAGCGAAGCGGGTCGTATCACGGTGATATCGATTATGTGTAGGGACTTATCTAATCTCTGACCATGTATGCCGGCAGGGTCCTCGTCTAGGTAACATTTTTGTATATAATCTGATTGGTGTATCGGCATCCACGAGGTTATTTGTTGCATATTGGCTGTTTTCCAGTAAACCAGTGTTCGCATTTCTAATTATAACTCAAGTATATTAACTGATAATATATTTAAAAACAAGAAATATTTGTTTATCGCAAGAAATGTTTCGTGATAGGTAATATTAAAACGTAGTAAGAAGTGTGGAGTGGAATCGTGTATTTTTTATGAATTTCCGTTCTTTACGTACATATGTGATATGGTGGTCCATATTTCTAGTTATAATTTAAATATATGTAAAGTGATAATATAGAGACTCACGAAAGTATTTGAATATTTATAGAAATTGATTATAGATATATTATGTGTATAATTGATTATAGATATATTATAGATAGATAGATTATAGATATGTATATAGATATATTATAGATATATTATAGATACATTATACAAAATGCTTCATTTCTTTTTTTTCTTTTTTTTTCTAAAGCTTAGTTATTTTTATCGATAGAGAAAATTATGTCACAATAAAATTATTTTAGAATGACGTACGTTGTAATCCATAATTCTTTTTCCTTGAGATTATTTCTTCCGAGATTTTTAAGTAGGATAAATTAAGAATTTTTTAAAAGTATACGTTGATATCCCTTTATGCATTATAAGTATACGTGCTTCTATTTTTTGTAGAAAAGTATTCAAGAATTAGTGCCTGAAAATAATTAATTTACGAGGTAATTTAATTTTCATTTTACATAATTGGCTTGTTTAAAGATATTTATGTGTTCAAAATAAATGAGACACTCTGTATAGAGCCAGAATGCATGTAGGTTGTTCACAAATTGAAAATTTCAATTATCGTCTATAGTAACGAGCAAATAGGCACACGTGATCTTTCATACCACAAATCTTACATATTGATAAAATACTCGACTATGGAAATCAGGCGTGCGTGTGTACATCGTTGAAAATATCAACACTGAATATTATTTCAATAAATTTGATTATCTAGATAATCATATATTATTTAATTTAGCTAAAAGTTATTATGAAGTGATTATGGATTCGTTTCAGTACGTATATAATTTTTCCTTGAATTTTTCACTCTTTCTATATATACATATCATATACAGGGTGAATCACGAAACATGATCAACTGAGCCACCCGAAAATATTTTTGTCTGGTAGGTGGTAGAACATAATTCAAAGAAAGTTTCAAGATAGTTATAGTAACTTCTTTTTCTATTCCTTCTTTACGAAGTTTTCAAGTTTTCCATAGATAAGTCTTATTAATTTTTTTACACGTCAAATATTATGGCAAATATGCTTTTGCCATCTGAAGAACATCAAAAGAACATCAAAAGAGTATCCTTTACCTTCATTGAGAGAATGTTCAAAATAGTACTTACCAGGTTCGATACATTTGTGTAGATGGCAATTATATTTTAGCAAATTTAGATTGTTATTTTTCAAATGTTTCTTCGGTTCTGCGGAAATAGAATGTTTGTTCTGATACTTGGCAAATTCGTCCCTCTTCGATAAAATTTTCAATTGACCTACTAACAACAAAATAACCTGAACTGATCACGTTTTGTGATACATCCTGTATATAAATTAGCTTTAAAATAAAAATAATAAAATAATTGAACAGATTCATTATCTCGAATCGTTATTTTTTATCTTCATTTCAAATAAAATGTTGCTAAGCTCAAGAGATATAACAACATTAAAATCGCAAAGGGTCGCTGGAAGAGAACTTGAACATTGAAATTCTTGCTTCGCGAAAACTAAACAAGCAACCAGTTGCAATATTACGCGAGCCATAAGCTATAATGCTAGTTTCCAATCTTTATCAATTTTTTAAGCATACTGAAAATAATTTTTTCAAACGCTTTAACATTACTTGAGAACCAAAATACAATTGGGAAACTTGAATGTTTTGGAAATCGTCAATTTTCCTAACGCCTTACGAAAAATTCAAAGATTTTAAAAAAGGAAATATATTAAAAATTTATTGTTTATAGAATTTAACATTTGTATCTTGTAACTGTTTCATATGTTATCTTGTAAATATTTCATGTAGTCATTTCAGTATAAGACATTAAATGTTAAAAGTTGGATAATTTCAAGATGTATAAAATTGTAAATTTCCAAAGCCATTCAAATCTTAAGAAATTTACAGAAATATACAAGACGCAGGTTTCAGAATATGTTTTTAAAGTTTTTAGAAGTTCTGCCCTAAGAATTGTTTTATGTTTCATTGCTAATAAACATCATAGAATTGTAAAACAAACCAATACAAAGTTTCACGTTTAACAAAATTTGTATCTTTGTAATGTAGCAATTATTTTCAAGCTCTCTTTTCATAATTAAAATAAATACCATGTTTCATTTTTACTCATCCTTTTAACATCACATTAAACAACTGATAAAATAAGGCGAAAGAAATTCTTTTTTCCTTTGGTCAGTATCAAGTACATATAGTTGTTAAGTACAAATCGATTGCAGATATATCATATCTTTATATATTAAGTAGATACTTGTTTCATCCACTAAATATTATAACAAGTACCATGTATTAAATATATATTTTATATATCTTGTATGTCATGCGCATCTTGTACGTTTTGCTTATTTAAATTGTCCTTGTTTTCTTAAATTTAAATTTATTTAAATTTACATAAATACACGATAAATACACGATTTACGATTCATTTCATAAAAATGTTACCACATTTTATTTTCCGTCGTTCAAGAAATAATTTCTATAAATTGGATGTTGAAAGAAAAATCACATAATCCAGTACATTACACTTATACCGGTGTAGGTAGATTAAATTAAATGATTAAATCCGTAATTTGTAAAATATTTTACGTACAAACTAACTAACTCGCATGTTATACATTTATCGAAAATTTCAAGATACACAAGATAAATCTTTATACAGATTTCATTTCCTTAATTATGTTAATAAAAATACGAAATTACATAAAATATTACGAAATTACGATTGCTTAATAATTATACAATATTTCAATAAATTTCCACATAAAGAGTGCACACAAACGTGAAGAATATTGCGATGGTTATGCACGCACGACTGACCTTCACGAAGAATTCGAGTGTTTCGTAGCAAAAATACGGATGACACGGAAAGCGAACGTGAACGTAGTTGGAGGAGGGAGCGCGAAAAGCCGCGGCGAATTCACGTTTGCAGTAGACGATCATCGGTGCGCTTGTTTCGCAATACAAGCCTCCGTGTAGGTAGTCTGGAAGAAGCGTCGCTTTGTTCGCGTGAAACGTGCCGCGAGTGCTCGCCAGGTTTCGACGTGAACACACGATACGTTTATTGCCCGCCCATTATCCAGTGTGGTATTACTTCCGTGTCTTCCATCAACGCGTTCTCTCCTTCTGTTTTACTTGAATAATCTGACTACGTTATAAAGTTTAATAGTGCTCCTATGTGTTTTTAAAAAATGTCTCAAATTCGAAATAGACTAAATTTTCTTATATCTTTGATCAATTTTTAAATATGATAAACTAATAAACTCGATAACTAAACTTCGTAAATTTCTAAATTGATTAACATTACTTCAGAAGACTAAAATCATATTTTTAAGAATGTAGAGCTCTTTGATAACTAAATCTGATAATCTTTAAATCTAATAAACGTTACGGAAATTATTAAAATTATATTTTTGGACCTTTGTAAAATTTGACGAATAAATGTATTATTTTTATTTTGATTTTCATACTATATATTTACTATTTTTTATAATACTGTATGATTCTTAAAATATTAAATTGTTCATTAAATACCAATTTTAAATACGGTTAGTGTGATATAACATGAATTTCAATTTTTTCATAAACATAAAGGTGGAGTAAATCAGAAGATGGTTTTAAAGTTGTATTAAGTGATGTCACGTGGAAAGTGCAAAGTGTAATGAGTTGAACAAAGGTCTCGAAATCTTGTTTTAATCGATAAGATAATTCAAAGATATCGGATTATAAATAGGTATAAAGTTCCTTTAAATATGAAGAGTTGAAGGATAGTTAAAGTTTTGGAGGAACGTGTGCAAGGTCATAAGTGAATAATGTCTTGCAAGTTTAATTATCTCCTGTCTTGAATGTTAATTACAAACGTGTGGTATAGTGATATTTCGAGGCTTCGTATGACAAGTTTATATGGGTAAATTTAATGGGAGCCACGTGACGAAATTACGATGGATTGTACATTATATAAAATCATGATGGATTCGGCGAATTTTTTTCGCTCCTCTACCAGCAATTTTCTAAAATAATTTAACAACAATTTTTATGAAATAAAATTTTTATTCATTCTGTCAAAAAGTTAATAACGAATTCTTAGAACTCTTATGACTAATAAAGCGAAACTTTATAAATTATTATAACTTGAAAAATATTTATTTACGATTATTTTAAATATTTAAATTTATAGAAATTGGACTCGATAGATGGACGTGTTATTCTAAAAGTTGAAATATTATATTAATGTAAAATGGTTTGGCAAATTTAAAAGATGCTAAATAATGTAAAAGGCACTTGACTGTAACCAGATTGATTTTAATTTTATATTATTACAATATATAATTGTTAAATATTCAAACAAATCAATATCAAATATCTGAGTATAATTTTGATTAATTATGTACAGGATGATTCGTAGCCGGTGATACAACCGGGTTGAGGCTGATTCTGCGTGAAAAAATAAGTCGTAAATATAGACTAAAATTCTTTCACATGACGCTCCCTTTCTAAGAAAATCGAATTTCTATAGTTGACAAGTATTTTTAAACATGACTAATTTCGCAGTGAACAGGAGTAAATAATCGAGAGGAGATTAAACTATACGTGAAAATAAGTCAAAAGAATAGAATTAAATTTTTTCATAAAATGCTTTGTTTTTTGAGAAAAATAATCAAATTTAACAATGTGCCATGCCCGTGTACCATACTAGTTCTTAATTAAACACATACAAACTTCATTTTCATTTAAAAATAAAGCTTAAACGAGAAAACTGTATTTTTAATTTTTGACTTATTTTCGCATGTAGAACAACTTCCTTCCGATTGTTTATTCATATCTACTTGGTACTTAGCCAAGCTTTAGCATGTTTGACAAATTTTCAAACTCGGTTTTTTCGGAAACGGAGTGTTACAAGAAAAAATTTATTCCACATTTTCAACCTGTTCTTTTTATTGTACATAGAAGCACTCCTTACCCAATTGTATCACCCATTCGACCTAATCCTGTATATATCATTACATGTATGAATTTTTTAAATATATTTGGCCTTCGAAAACATTACTGTGAGAAAGATTTTAAGGTAGAATATCTCTTTTTATTTATTATTTTATAGTTATATATTAAAAGGATGTTCATGCCTTCGTTGTCAATATGCATAGAATACTTTCGAACATTTCGAACAGATATGCTTTATTGTGACATAATAGTATCGAAACTGAACGCAGCCAACATTTTATAAATTGTGTTTTATTTTTTATACATTCTTTATACATAATTATATATTCTGTGTTGTATATTTTAAGTTTTATAAATTATATAAAGTTTTTCCTATTAGATAACTTACTAAAATTAAACTGCTTTAATTTTGGCATTGACATAAATTTCATAAATCTAGATTTAAAAATTTCATAATATTAATAAATTTCTTTTCGTTTATGGAAACGTAAAAAATATAGCAGGTTAATACATCATGTAAAATTCAAATAATATTCCTCAATTAATATTAATTTCTAAAATACTTTTTTGGATAACGAAATTGTTAATAACATAATTCACGGTAAAATAAGAGTTTCTTAATTATTTCAAGTTTTATTTCTATTAATAAAAGCATTCTTTTCTAATCTATATTACTCATAAAATCTAGAACTTATAAAACAATTTTCGCGCACTTGAATTTTTGTTCTGAAGTAGAAAATAACATTTTACATTTTATTATTTTTATCAAAAGAACTGAAAAAGCATTTCTTCCAAAACTTTGGTCGATGTTACTTCTTTCTTTGCTGATAATCTAAAATTCCTCGTATTACTAGTATTATTTGAGAAAATAATATTCTGGAATAATTATAGAGACAATTAAATTTCGAGTACTTGCAGCAGCAATAAATGCAATAGAATGTTTTGAATCGCTAATTGCTATTAAAATTCATATCGACAGTGGCGTTATATAAATTCTGGTAAAAATGACAAAATGAAGCGGTTCATTAGGGCAGTGGTTTCATTCAACGTGCTACTTCATAGTAAAATCGTTTCTCGATAAAAATTGTTTCTCTGAATTGGGAACAAATAGCTCCAGAATGTGCATTGGGGATGGTATTGCTTATTTGAATAGAATGCCGATTATGAGAGCATAAGTAACACCTTTCCCAAAGAAAGATCATGTCGCGAGTGTAACAAGATAACCGTGCCACGTTGAGCTGTGCACTGAATTTAAATATATACGACCCTATTGCTAACTTACAAATATTTTGTCGTTAGAATAAAGGTGACGTCGTTTCAGATTCTTCTTTTTTCCATACATTTCGCATCCTTTTCCAAAACAATAATTCTTAAATAAGTGGAGAAAAAGTGTTACGAAACACCGTATTGTTACGATTAACCCTGTTCCTTACCGAATAGGTTCAGTCAAGTTTGCCTTTTCTTGTGAAATTTTCTCGTGTCAGCTTATAAAAATCATGTTTAGAAACAAATCCTATTTATCCTGTATATTTGCCACCCGAAATTTCTTACACGAACTTTGTAAACAATCTCCAAAGATGTCAGAGACAGGTTTGTTTGTGTATAACAACGAACCTAATAATCGGATCGCAAGACGTTCCCAATAAAAATTATAGGTGTTAGAAGCATCTATCAAATGAGATGTCACCAAAATAAATAGATAGATATCATTCAAAATAGCACTATCTTCAATTTAATATACAGAGTTGAAACTTTGTGAAAATATAGTTTTTATCATTCTGAGTTTAAAAGTGTAATATGCAATATTTCATCCCGAAATATTTATTAGTCCTTACAAAAAACTATTTAGCAACTAAAAAGGCGTTTTCGTCAAACTTAATTTCTACAATTTTCAGAAGTTGCATAGCAACTGGTGGATGCTTTTTCTATTATCGAAGAGTTGCACAATTATGTAATTCTTAATTTACATGTGGTTGTAGGATATGTTACTAAGTTTTATATATGTATGATTAGTATTCTGGAATAAAACTTCTTCTATTAGAATTCGTTATTTAATAAAGTTATAAATCGATAAATTTACTGTGAACTCATGTTATAAATTATTTCGAAAAATTCTCTTCTATTACGATTTATAATCTGATGTAAGTTCCTATATTCGATCATTTATGTAGAAAAATGTGTTGGAGAACGTACTTGGTATGCTTATATATCTTCCTAATAAAAGTTTCTAGAAATTATTACGCGAGTTGATTCGCAGAAAGTCGTTTCCCTTTTAAAACCAACTATTTCTTAATCTAGGCAGCCAATTAAAGTGGTGAAGGTCTGATCAGTTGTATTTATTTTATCAATGCCGTGAAGCGTGTTTTCGTTATGTAATTAAGGATACTAATTAAAACCCTGTCGATCGCGATGCCAATGACCACGAAGTTTTTGAGAGGCTACCGGTTTCTCAATCAAAATATACTTTCCATTCTTCATCGTTGATCATCATACAATTAATCCTGCACTTGATCGAAAGGAGCTGGCTGAAAAGTTTCTCTAAATATTATTTCTGCAATTTAACTCTTGTAAACAATACCCCATTGTTAATTAAAAGCTATATAATATAAATTTTAATACAAAGAGTGCAAATTTATAGAAAATTTTACATCTTCAGAATTTCATTTTTATACAAATGTTAAAATCTTATTTATGACACAGGCTACTGTGAGTTGTAGCAGAACGTGATACTTATAAATCATTAAACATTCTCAGATATTTTTCTAATATTTATAATATGTACATATGTCGTAATAAAATTATTCTATACATTTCTTTCTTCCTGTAATGTATTCAACTCGTAAAATCTTTCTAACTAATCAATAAATCGATAACTTTTGTTGTAACTTCTCAGTAAAATTTTGTTTATCAAAATCAATATCCAACGTCACTGCTAAAGAAAATAGAGAAATAAACGCAACAGAAATTATCAGTTACTTGTTAATTTGTTAATTATTTAAACAATTTTTAATCTATTTTCTGTAGAATTCGTTTTCTCCAAACTTGAGCAGTTTCATAATTTTGTCATGGAAGAAGAGCATCTATGCATGCAATAGGTGTTTTGTCTCTCTTAGGTGCCTCTTGTTTCTCATTCGCTTCGTTAAAAAAAAATATAATTGTTTTCTAATTATGTTTTTGATTTATCTTCTCTTTTGCAATCAATAGATAGAAACACTTGGCCGTATCAAAATATGAAAGCGGTGTATTACAAACTTCCGGAAGTTTTTTACTATATCGAAGACCCTCATACTGTGCGCGACAACCGTAACGTTAGTTAGAGTCGTCATTCCAATAAAAAATTGTTACCTCAAATTTCTAACCGATTAAATAAAAATTGACAAAATATCTACTTGCTTTTTTATATCTATAGATGTTCCATTAAATTTATTAAGAATAAGTATTTTATTTATCATTAATGGTAAAGTATCAATGTTTTTCATATTATAAATAATACAAAATAGATCAAGGATATACAAGTATTAATTGTAAAAGTACAAAAAATAAGAAATATTCGAGTAGGTATTATTTTCAGGTAATAATTTTCAAGTAATGATTGACAGATCAAGAAATTTTCACGTAATAATTCGATAATTATTGGGAATATGGATGACCTCGCCGATTTTAATAACCTTGAAATATGTTATCAAGACCAACACTCTGAACAACTGTTTTCTATACATATTTCTGTTACTCGCTCATAGTTTTCAAATATTCAAGATATTCGCAAAAAACTTCAATTAGATTTATTTTTAG